GGTTCCCCTCCCTCTCAGCCTGCTGCCCTTGCTCCCCCCAACCTCTGCTCCCCCAACTCCCCCAGCTCTTTTGATGCCTCTTCCTTCTGACCTGCAGCCCCTGCTTCCCCCATCCCTCAGCTCCGCTGGTGCCCCTCAGTCCCCGCTAGCCCAGCCCTGGTCTTCCTCCTGACTCTGCCAGTAGCCCTCATTCCAGACCAGCAGCTTCCCTATTTCAGGCCCAGGGAGGCTGCCTGGTGCAGGGGGTGGCCAGGTGCCTGTGAGTTTTCTAGCTGGGTTCAACCTTGCCCCAGGCATCAGAGGCATCCGCACGTCAGCCCAAGAGCCCTTTAGTGTTGGGCTGGGCACCCAGGACTCTATGGCTACGTCTACACTCACGGCTTCTTGCGCCAGAAATATGCAAATGAGGCTAAGCGTGGAATATTGCCGTGCCTCATTTGCATACCTAATGAGCCACCATTTTTTTCAGAAGAGGCTCTTGCGCAAGGAGGAGCGTCTACACTTCCCCTTCTTGCACAAGAAAAACCCTCTTGCGCAATGCCGTTCTTCCTGAAAAATAATAGCTGTAACGGCATTGCGCAAGAGGGTTTTTCTTGCGCAAGAAGGGACAATGTAGATGCTCCTTCTTGCGCAAGAGCCTCTTCTGAAAAAAATGGTGGCTCATTAGGTATGCAAATGAGGCTCAGCAATATTCCACGCTTAGCCTCATTTGCATATTACTCGCACAAGAAGCCGCGCGTGTAGACATAGCCAATATATGTTTGCTGAGCCAGTGGCTGCTTGCTGGGGAGTTGGGCCTGGCTCAGGAATGTCCCATCTGGGAGGAGAGGAAGGGTCGGGGAGGAGGGGAGCAGCCTGCAGAGACAGGAGAATTGGGGACCTGTGCGAGGGGGAGGGCCCTGAGGTGGGGGGAGTGAATTCCAGCCTGGACATAGAGACAGATGGACAGACTTAAGTGGGGGCTGGGCACTCAGTAAATGTCTCCCGCTGGGACCTGGGACACAGCCACTCTGTCCCCCATGCTTCTTAGGACATGTGGAAGGGGCATGAGCTCAGACTCCCTCTCATGTTGTGTCTGGTTCCTCACAGTTTTGGAAAAAGGACCCGTGGATTTTGCAAGGGCCTGGACTCTTCCCACCTTAGGCTCCATCCTCACAGCCCTAGGCCCCACTCACATACATCCAGGCTCTATCCCAGACTGGGCGAAGGAACTGACTGGTATTGAAATAGCCAAGCAAAGCACGTCGCCCTTAGGCTTCAGAGTGAACAACCGGCAGCGGTGTATGAGAGCAGTTCACATTGCCCTGAGAAGGGAGTCTGGGGGCTGCTGTGTGCAGCCTCAGCCTTGCAGCACTACATTGGCATGGCTCCCCAGGCTCAGGCCGTAGCCTACAGCTGCATGTACCCTGAACCAGGGCCTCTCCCTGCCTTGGGGTCTCTCTTAGCTCCCTGGTCAACCTCTCACTTAGTCTGTACCTAGCATGTGGGCTGTACCTACTCTTGAGTGGGGCTGTGAGATCTAGTGGTTAGATCAGGGTTACTCAGTTCCTGGATGACCCATTTCCTCACACTGTGCCTCAGTATTTCCAGCTGTTTAATGGGGTGATTCCACCTTTGCACAGTGCTTTGAGATCCCTGGCTGAAACTGGGCGGAGCATTGTGATGAATTGGTGCTCGTGTGTATGAGAGTGAGAGAGATGACAGCCCTCTGCTGGATGTTCAGCCAAGTGTCATAGCCCCTACACAGTTTCTATTTGAGAGAGGCTCCCCACAGAAAGAGGGAATTGGAGGGAAGGGCCGTGTCTGTCTGTTCTCACTGTTATAGCGGTGTGATGAGTCCCAGGGGCTGAATAGTTTCCCAGTATGACGTGTCCCTTCTCCACAACTCCCGCAGGCCGACATTCTGAGGGCGCATGTGTCTGTGAGACAGACAGCTCCCTGCCCACCCCCTGGCCCCGGTGAGCCCAGTTGAGACGGGCAGACCCACTCTGGGGACTGTGGGGGGGCAGAGCAATGCTGGGCAGGGTAGATTGGTTCGGGGAGGGTGTAGATCTTCTCAGAGTGGCTGGGGGGAATGGATTGGCATTGGGGCCTGGTGGGGGTCACTGGGGCATACTGTCTGTGAGACAGACAGCTCCCTGCCCACCCCCTGGCCCCGGTGAGCCCAGTTGAGACGGGCAGACCCACTCTGGGGACTGTGGGGGGGCAGAGCAATGCTGGGCAGGGTAGATTGGTTCGGGGAGGGTGTAGATCTTCTCAGAGTGGCTGGGGGGAATGGATTGGCATTGGGGCCTGGTGGGGGTCACTGGGGCATACTGGTTTCAGGGTTTGGGGGCAAATGGCTCTAGGGAATTGGGGGAGCGGCTG